TGTCAATCGGACATTGTTCATTGTAAATTATACATTATACATTATGCTTTGTATATTATACATTATATATTATGTGTTTTTTTGTTGAGTCATTTCTGCTTTGACGAAGTTTGTGGTGGTCATTGTTGGCCACTAGGTATTTCCCAAGGTGACTATGTAACTTCCCTACCTAAGCTTTGTTGAAAATACTCTATTGTGTTGTGCCCCCATGACATAAAAAATGGTTGTTATTATTGATGTATTATTCGTTTGTATCTATGTTTAGTAATTGAGGTGAATATGATAAACTATGGGTGTCAAAATAGGTTTAGTCTAATAAATTGATTCAAAAGGCTTGAAAAATAGGACATGCTAGGTTGAAAAATTTGTGGTCTAAATTCAATTAAGTTTATTTTAGTTCGACTTGTTTAAATCATAACCTACATGGGTTTAGACCAGGTAGCCCGTATGCTTAGGAATAAGTTCATTTTATAGAATAATAATAACTTTTAAAATAAAAACAATAGTAATATTATTTTATTGAAAAATATATATGTATTAAAAATTAATTTGATCAAAAATTTACTTATTTTAGATTAATAATGAATGATGATAATAAAAAATAATTTTTTAACTTTTATTTTTGTATTAAATGGATATCTTCTTTTTCTAAAATATATATATTAAATCATTATATTTGAAATAAAAATTAATTTTAATAATATTATTTAAATTTTAATATAAATTTTTATTTTTATTTAAATAATTTTTAATTAATTATTTTTATATAAACACGTTAATAATATTATATTAATTTTTAATTATGTCAAAATTGATCTATTAACTCATTGAGTGAACATAAGATTATTCAAGACAAAAATTTATTACCTACTTAAAAATATAGGTCAAACTGGTAGATTAGACCAAGCTTGACCGAACCCCATTTTAACAAATAAGTTTTTATCAAACTAATTAAGCTACAAATTTTAAAAATGTCTGATTTATAATATATAATAAAAAAATATGATAATCTAATTGATTCATCAATTGAAATCCTAACAAATATAAATGGTTCACATTATAGATATGTTAATCCACAAATATGAATTTAAAAAATATAAAAGATTAAGTTTTCATTTTTCTCTTAGGATAATCTCATTATCAATGTACTTTGCATCATACTTTATGAGAAATGATTAGGCTAAAAAATATTCTAGCCTTAAGTTTCTAACTATTTTTTTTTATCATAATACACGTGAGAAACAACAAATTGATCTTAATTTATAATCTTGATATTTACAATTGATTTTGAATTTTACATTGATAATAATATGATAACTTTCTAAGAGCCCTTAATTATATTTGGATTAAAGAATAGTAATAGCCCTAACTTCCTACATTGCTAACAAAGAAAAAAATTATATTACATGCATTAGTTATTATGCTATTAATAAGATACATATTTTCGTAATTGTTATTTGTTCTACTTCATTCTAATATTTTTTTATTCTAATTATTTTATAATAATAAGTAATAAGTCTAAATATTAGTAAGATATTTCTTACATATAGATTTATATGAGAACTAAGTAATTATTAATAACATTTTAAATATAAAATATATTTCAAATGGCTAAATTATAGGAAAGTAAAATAACTACAATAAACTTATTAATAGAAGTGTCAAAATAGGTTTAGTAACCCAAAAGACCTAAGAAATAAGATAGGTTAAAAAAAAATTGTGACTTAAATTGAAAAATATCAATTTAGTTTATAATAATAGTTATTTTTAAATAAAAAATAATATTATTTTATTAAAAAATATATATGTAATGTAAATTTATTGGATAAAAGATTCACTTATTTTAAAAGCAAGTATAATAATAAATCATTGACACTCACTTATTTATGATATAATGATTAAAATAAATTATTATTTAAAATTATTATATCACTAAAAAATCATTATATGTGAATAAAAATTATTATGATCTAATTGTGATTGAATAAATTTCTTCTCTTATAATTTATATATTAAATCATGTAAATAAAAATTATTTTCATTAATATAGCTTAAATTTTAAAAACACATTTTATATTTTTATTTAAAACTATTTTTTTTTTGATTAATTATTCTTATATAAATACACTATTATTTTTTCAATCTTCAATTAGGTCAAAACTGAGATGTTAATCATTGACAAAACATAAGGTTACTATAGACAAAAAGTTATGGTCCCTTTTTAAATATTGGTAGGTTGGACCATAAATATTTTTATACATTTTCCCTACACCTCTATATTTTCTTTTAAAACTTTCATAATCTATATTAAATGATAAGAATGACATATGTATTTTAACCTTCGTGTGTATCTCCATGGTTTTACCCATGTTGTTCTTAAGGAAGTGTATGCATCGTAAGATGCCGCCACCTCCCCCTCCCCTCCCCTCCCTTTCCCCCTTTAACCAAAACTCCAAACTTATGTTAAGATGTGGAAGGAAGTCTCATATGTTTGATGAGAATTAGGGATGGTAAAATGGGTTAGACCTGACAGTCGACAGGACGGTTTGTACTTTTAGGTTGCCAGTCCATTTTAGCCTGTCCCGCCAAGCCCACCAACCCGTTAGGCCAACCTGCAGGCGTGGCGGGTCATTTCGCGACCCGCTTTACTAATTACTTTTTTTATTGTAATACAATACAAAAAGTTAGAAAGACAATATATAATATAAAGATTTATGAGAAGAGAATTCTAAAAGTCTCACTTACATGATGAAAAACTCGGAGAAATTTTCAAATACTCCATCTAGTGATCCTGGACATTGATTGTTTTTGCATTGAAGATGTGAGAATTACTCAATGGGAAACAATATTATGTTTTATCAAATAAATAAATATAATGTAATTTTCATTTAAATGTTTAAACGTTTCAATATAAAAAAATAAAGATTTAATAAATTTTTACTGTTACATACATGTATTTATTATTATATAAATTTTATCTTAATTTAATTATTCTAAAATATAATTTATTAAAATAATATATCAATTTATATTATTAACTTTATATATATATATATATATATATATATATTGAATTGTTGATAGTGATAATTTTATTATTAAATTTATTAAAATATTTGATTTAAAAATAATAAAATAAGAAATATAACGGATCAGTCCAAGCAACCCGCCCTTTGACGGATGAGTCGAAACCTGTAGTCTGTCATGACTATAACAGAGTTAGCCCGTCCCGCGCCACTTTTGGCGGGTCAAAGGTATGGCTGGCCAAAACGAGGGGGACTGACCCGTTTTACCATCCCTATGAGAATGAGAGAAACATATAATAGAAACGTGAAATATAAAGGGAAGTGACAAAATGAAAAGGGAAATGCAACGAAATCATGGATAATCGTATGCATATTATTATTTTAAATATACTTTTTAGAAAAACTTTTGGAATTAACTTTCTAAAAATATTTTGAATTGACCTTTTTGAAAGCTTTTTAAAAGCATTTTGGAATAAATATTTTGGAAAAACAAATAATTTATGAAAAGGTTAATTTAAAATATTTGTGGAAAGCTTCCAAAACGAGTTTCTTATAAATTTTCTAGAATGAACTTTTGAAAACTTTTTAGAATGAACTTAAAAAAAAAAAGAGTTTGGAATTTGGAATGAACTTTTTGAAAATATTTTGAATTGACATCTCCAAAAGCTTTCCAAAATGCTTGAAAAGAACTTTCATAAAAATCAATCTATAATAGTTTTATAAAACACATTCTTAAAATCTATTTACATTAAGATAAAAATAAAATGATTAATTATTTTATTAAAATGAACTTACATGATTAAATAAAATTCCTAAATTTAAACTAAAATAACTAAAAAATAAAAATAGTTTACAAATAATTCATACATTTTTATATATTTAATTACTAGATTAAATTTGATTATTTATCATTATATAAATTACAAAGAATTTTAAAATATTTTAAATTCAAATAAATATTTTAAAAATATTATGAAAATGTAGCATTTTTTAAGTATAAATATATTAAACATTATCTTTTATTTTAAAATATAGTAAAAATAAATATTTTTTAATATTGTGAATTCTTATATTTAATTAAAAGAAAATTACCAATGATAACATTTATATAAGTACAAAACTATTTTCATAAATAAAATATTTTTCTTCTAGAACAAGGAAGAGTTAAATAAATTTTATCATTACAATATATGTATCTTCATATTATTTATTATTTTTTCTTCATATTATTATCCCACTACTCCCACTTATAATTAATAAATATAATATTTTTGAACACATCTACTAACATATCATTATATTAAAAGATATATTCAATACTATAACCATCATTATAATCATAAAAATATAGTTCAATTTTTTTTTCTTTATTGTGATCATAAGTATAAAAAAAATCAAAATATTAAATTAATAATAATCATATTATATATTTAAAAACATAATATAATAAATATATAAGAATAGTTATCTAACTTAGAATTTAGGATATTATAAAATAATATTAAAAGATAGAGATTAAAAAAAAAACAAATTAAATTATCAAATTAATATATAAAAGAAATGAGATATTTATTTATAAATATCCAATAACTTGAAATTATAAATACTAAAATTATAAAAATAATAATTAAAAATATTAAAGGCTAATAAAATTAATAGATAATCGATAATAATTTATACAAGAACATATATTTTACATTTCCTATCATTATTATATATTTCAAATAAAAATTAGTCATTGATTATTTTTGGGTCACATAAAAAGAAAGCCTATTATGAACCAACAAACCCTACGTATAATTTGGGTCATATATATGGGCCTTGAAAACCCACTCGGATCCAAGTAGATTGCGGAGGGAAAATCGTCCTTCAACTTCCCGAGTCGAGCTTCACTCCCGAATAATACACTACATAGTTCACACATCAAACACCTTAACTGCACGCAAAAACTAGAAACCACAAGGAGAATCGAAGATGCAGAGATTCAAAGCTCTGCTACCGCTAACTAGGTCCTCACTTCGCACTCTCCGTTCTCACCCTCGAGCTTTGTCCGCTCAACCAAATTACGCAGAGCATGACGACGGCGATTACCAGGAACAGGTCACATGACTCATGCGCTTTCTCTCTGTTTTTTTTTTCGATTTTATTTTTCAATTCTCGACGTCGTTATTTGATTCCAGATTTTAGTCGAAGGAAGAGCGAAATCACGGGCGGCTATTCTCAACAGACCTTCTTCCCTGAACTCGCTCAATGCTTCCATGGTGCGGCGTTGTTCTTCCTTTTTCTTTTATTGTTTTGACTTTGTTCCTCTGAAATAAACGCCGAGTCGTTTTCATTTCGCAGGTTGCTCGATTGAAGAGGCTGTATGATTCCTGGGAAGAGAACTCTGATATTGGCTTTGTTTTGATGAAGGTATGGCTCTAGTTTTCACGCCAATAAGTTGCCATTGAGCTAAGGAAATAATAATATTGGAATTCATAATTAGTTTCTTTTTTATATGTTTGTGGATATTCTGTTGAGTTTGTGTTGCTTTATTGAATGTTTTGAAGGGTAGTGGCAGAGCTTTCTGTTCTGGTGCAGATGTTCTTAGGCTTTATCACTCACTCAACGGAGGTTAGTTGTATTTTATTAATTAATTAACAAGTGCATTGTCGTTTTAGTTTCATTAGTTTAATTTCTATGCACTCTTAAATTAAAAATTTTTACACTCCTAATCAATCAGAAATCCTGGTAAGTCGACTTTTAAGGTAGTTATTATAAAAATCAACAAACTTATTATGCATGACAATTTGTATTTTTAGGCAAAGATGATAATGTAAAAACACTTTACACTGCCACTGCATAAAGTGTCTAGTTTCAGTCAAACCTTCAACTGGATACATCAACACGAAGTTATACATGGATCCTTGCCATTACTGTTTGTGACTTTTCTATTCTTTTAGAGACTGTAGTTTTACTGACATGCACATCTCCATTTTAAGTTATACATGCCATATTCCAAGTTGTATATAAAAAAAGGTTGATAGGCTTGCTAAAATCAGCTTTGTTTATAGGGTTAGTTTGTTGTTTTGGATAAAGATTCAAGACTTAATAAATTGAGTTGGTTACTTTTAGGAGTGGATGCGTAATGTATGTTTTTTTATTATCTTTCAATTCCTTGTGTGGAATGATGTGAAGGGTTGTTTGTTCCTCCTTGTCTTCATCTAAATGATGGTGTTTTTTTTCATTTGAAGTCAGCACCTTCTACCTATGTGTGTTATTGTTTTGTTAGATGACGCAGAGGTACTAGATCACTCTTCTATGCTATTGGCTTCTGTACCTCAAGTCTTTTCATTTTATTTTTGCTGCCTGCAATGTATCATGTCATCTTTTTTGTTTTAATTTTTCTTTTCATTTTAATAAAATTCCTTTACTGGGACTCCTGAATCAAATTCAGACTCAGTCCTACTGCAAATTGGTGTGCTGAGAGGTTCATGTGCTTTGACTGATTGGACCGTAATTTCAATTATATTTTTTTGGTTAAGATACTCTTATAGTTCTGAATTATGATCTGATGTCTTACAGATTAAGACAGTCATGTTAGAGCATGATCTGTAGTTAGTTTTGTTCACTTTTAATTTTCAGCTGCTTATTCATCAGAGGTGCGTTTTACATATGTGAGTGATAACATTTTTATGTTTATTATGAGCAGGAAATACTGACGAAGCTGAACAGTTTTTCAAAACATTATATTCATTTGTGTATCTTCAAGGGACTTATCTTAAACCACATGTAAGTTTTGAATCATTGTTATGTGCTTTATTTGAGATATTGAGTACTTTGGGTTGAAGAATTGATATACACCTAATATAATGATTTTTGCTTATGTTATTCATTCTCCAGTGGACCAATATTGGTCATGCTAAGCATGGTTGTTATATACTACAGTGTTAACTTGTGAATTGTCCAAGTTATGAGTTTACAAGTTGTCTGTTGCAAATTAAGCTGAATTGGTGGTGGAAAATTTTCTCGGTGAACTTGGGTAAACCTGGTGGGAATGCTCAAACTCACTCAAAGCTGAGTTGGCGAGTCTGCCTCAATTTTAAAGCAAAATGACATTGATCTTCCAGTCTCTTGCATGATTAGGGCTCAGTTTTAGATATTATCTCTCATCTCCTCTCGTTACATGTTTCCTGGCCCTCAAAGTGGTAAAACCAGGGTCTGACCTTTGCTGTTCTCAGCTCTCTCACATCACACAATCAACATATGCCTTGTCATTACTCTCTCCGTCCCTCCCTTAATTCATTTGTGAAGCTTACTGAATCACCTTCCTTATCCCAATTACAACTTTAAAAGTGTAGAAACCTATCGAAAGTTTCCAAACAGTGTAGATGTAGAGATAATAAATTTAACCTATATTAAAAATAAAGCTATCTAAATGAGTAGATATTTTTCATGGTACTTGCATAGGCATGGGTGAACATAGTATGCACAAATGGAATCTATTACTGAAAAGAAGGTATGAAAAAGAGAAGATTTAGTTGAAATTATCTTCATGGTTGAACCAAATCCTTATGCAAATTTACATAAGATTAAATATTAAATATACCTATTTATGTGAATATTGTCATACACTGTATTGTTTTGAATATTATCAGAGTTTAACACAATAGATCTCTTCTCTATTTGATGGACTTTTTTGTGCGTTTTTTTGAACACTAAAAGTTTCTTTAAAACCTTAATGAAGATTTTGTGGGCATGTATGCAGGTTGCCATTTTGGATGGAATAACAATGGGATGCGGATCTGGAATTTCTTTACCAGGGATGTTCCGTGTGGTAACTGATAAAACTGTATGTGATATCTTCGTAAGCTCATTGAATTTATGTTGATTCACTCAATAAATGCAGGCAGATAAATGTTTTTCTGCTTAATCTTCACAGTTTTTTTCTCACCCAGAGGCTCAAATAGGTTTCCACCCAGATGCAGGAGCTTCTTATATTTTGTCTCACCTACCTGGCTACTTAGGTAATGTACATTTGGCATGCTATTTGAGATCTGGACTCATACACTTTTGGTACTCATTTTACTAAAATATCCAATTATTTTAAAACGTCTTAAAGTGTGTCATTAAAAAAAAAGGAACTGAATCATGAACTACACAAAGTTAATTTTCATTTTGTCTAAATGAACCTAATCAATCCCTTCCCTGAAAACAATTGTTAAACTTTTGAAGGGTTTCTGCACTAAACATCCTTAGGTTTAGAACTGGACCTGATATTGGATTGCTGAAAACTTCCCTGAATAGTATCCATAGGATACAGAGTCAGTGCCATAAATAAGTTGATTAATTTTTGTTTGAGTTTTTATATTTCCAGTACAAAATTACTTTGAGAATTCAACTTTCGCGATAAAACATTTTTGTTATTTTATCTGACAAGATACACCAATTATTTTTTTCATATGGAAAGAGTATTTGATGTCACCGTATGTTTAATCAGATATTATTATGGACACATATTATTGTTTTCATATTCTTTATTACTCTAATTATTTTTAATGTTATAGACTATGATCACACTATTTTTCTTCTCAGAGCAAAATGACATTTTTGGTTGCAAATATTTTATGTATGAAAAATCTTATCTTCTCTAGAGTTCATGGAGTTAAGATTCCATAACCCTCAGCAACCCAACCACCTGCATCGATCGTATTGATCTTTGGTCCTTTGCAAAAAATATATCCTACTGAATATTTAGACAAACATTCTCTTTGAAAGAGCAGTGGAATATTCTTTATTTAACTTTGTTTTAAACTTCAATTAATAGTCATTTTCCCAGTAAACTAGAAAATGATTCCCAAAAGTTTATTATTTTATTTTATTTTATGTTATACAGGGGAATACTTGGCCCTTACAGGTGATAAGCTTAATGGTGTTGAAATGATTGCATGCCACCTTGCTACTCATTATTCACTAAATGCAGTATGTTTTTCTCCGTTTATGTGCCTCATTGTTCTGTCTTTGTGGCTTACTTTTGCTTTGCTGACATTATTTGGCTCCTCCTGGCAGAGGCTTGCTTTACTTGAAGAACGCCTTGGTAAACTAATCACAGATGAACCTTCTGTTGTGGAGGCATCCCTTGCACAGTATGGTGATCTTGTTTATCCAGATAAGAGCAGTGTCCTTCACAGGTAGTGTTGCACCAGCTTGTCTTTATTTCTTTTTTTGGTCTATGACTTCTAGGTGTATATTTTTTTGGGAGGGAGGGGGTCATGGTCCAATATATCTGAGTTTTGGCCCTATGTCCCTATAAACTTCTGCCCAATTAGTTGCTAAAATCTGCTATCATAAATTCAAGGAAAATGTTATCCAGTATCCTTAGTAGAAATATAGATATAATTTGTTATTAAAACATAAACATTAACTATAAAATAAACAACATAAAATTCATTTAAAACTGATTTTTAAGTTATTGGAAGCATTTAACAGGGTGTATTTATTTTTGGGTGACTGAATGATTTTATTATGGAGACTAAAAGCCTCTAGGAAACACACTGGAGCTACACCTGCCTTAATTCATTTACAATAAAGGCGGGGGAAAAATTAATCAGGTGTATTTTATGTTCCGTAGTCTATCTTTTAGGCATTCATTACAAGAATATTTATATTTTGTTAGTGGAAAATCGGGCATTAAATTGCCTGCATATCCATATTTTTTATATTATTAATTTCTCTCAAAATATATTTTTTAATTTTACTTTTTTTTTGTCACGATACCTCTCTACTTTTTAGATGTATGGCATGTTATTTCTCCTGTATTATATCTTTTCGTCCTTATGATGACACCAAAATTAGTTACAAAAATGAAAATCCCCTTTATACATAGTACAAATTACAAGTATGACATCTTTTTCTCTCTCCAATGCCACCGAAAACGGTTACTAAAAGGGGAATCCCATACAATATAGATTAATAATTTTTTACTTTGAGGGAACTAAATCAATTAATATTTTGTGAAAAATGAAATAGATTGAATAACACTTAATGATAATATTTCTTAAAATATGTATGATGAAATCCTCTTGGATTTTTATTTTTTTTATTTTGATTATTTAGTTGGTGACATGACTTTATCTTTAAAGTTTTCTTTAGTGAAAAATACCTCAACAACACAGGGCACTTCGAAGAAATGAGGGTCTGTCTTGTTAGGCAGTTGAATGACTCTTGGTGTGGATTACTTAATGCCCATGTAAAATTGTTGTGTAATTGCTCTTGTTCTTCTTCTACCTTGCATTAAGGTTGTGTAGGGCCTAGGCAATTGGGGCAATAACCTGAGGCCTCCAAAACATTTAAGGCCCCTAAATAACATATTATACCTTTAATAGATTTTACCTGTTGGTAATTTAGGTTATTTACATGATAAATTTTGTTAAAATTATTTTTATTGTTTTAGTCACCTTGATGTTCATTTTTTATCAACATAATAATCACCAAGTACCATTAATTCCTAAATTTTATGAAGTACTTAATATTCCAAATTTCTCCCTTTTCTCTCGGCTTTTCATCCCTTTCAATGTTAGCTTATATTCACATTTCTCCTTTAATCTATTGAGATGTCTTTTAAGAACAAAATTATAAGAAAACCTGATAAAACTCCAAAGTGAATAATATCTTAGGAGTAGTTATTGAATCCAAAAGATGTTAAATAGATCTAAGTGTTCGAAATCCCACATTGCCTACCTTATGTCATGTAGTAGGTTTAAATACCTGTAAAACTACTCCACATATTACCAATTGGTTTTATGAACCTTAACATGGTATCAGAGTCAAAACTTAACTTCTTTTCGGTTATTGTCCTGGGCCAAAAGTTTCCCTTAAAATATCTTTTGCTTGGTTCGACAAGCTTTGTTGGATGGGGCGTGTTGAAAGTTTCACATTGCCTGCCTCATATCATGTGATATGGTTTAAATACCTGTTAGACTATTCAACATATTGTCCATAGGTATTATGTTTGAACCTTAACACTAAAGTTGAAATATTTTGTCATTTGTGTTTCACAGTATTTAAGAGTTTAGACCAATGATAGTTTCTACACACTTTTCTTTCTTAATTCGTTAGGGGTGCCTTTAAGAACAAAAATAGTACAAAACCAAGTTTGCTCCAAAACAGATAATATTTGCGATGCAAAAGTTGAACCTAGCGATGTTATCTTAGAGGAGTTAAAATCGAAACATTGACATTGTATGTGGGAACAAAAAGGAAGGATTTCAAGCTATGTGAGCGCTTGTTTCAATATGATGAAAAATCTCACATCATTTAGGAGTTGAGGCCAAGGGTAATTTATAAACACTATCTTTTCCCCCTTAATCTATCGAAGCGTCTTTTAAGAACAGAACTGTGATGAAACCAAATTTGAGTTGTAAAGGGAACAATCCCTAATAGATTGTGATTTTATCTTTCTAGTTTCTAAATTGTTATCGTTATCCTTTAGTCCATTCTATAGATAGGTATTATATAGAGGGGGGGACATGCGGTGGCCACGCCCGTCCCCCTCCTCCCCTAAAATTTTAATTTATATATATATATATATATATAGATAGATAGACAACTATAAAAGAAATAAAAATTGATTATTATATTTTTTTTATATAAAAAATATCATTTTTTATGTTCTCACACAATTTTCTATTTATATCTTTTTTTCTCATCTTTTTTATTTTCACATTTTTATTTTTTCCTCTTCTACCTTTTCACTTTCTCGACATTAACTTCAAACACTCATCTTTTTACTTTAATATTTCTACTTTTTTTCTTTGCCACTCTTTCACTTACATATTTTTCGCTTTCAGAGTTTCATCTTACAACATAAAAATTCTAAATTTTTCTCTTTAAATTTCACATTTTTCTTGAAGTAAACAATTTTTTTATTGTTTTTGTTAACTATTATAGCATATTGTTATTATTTGCTATCAATTAGATAATTGTTTTAATATTTTGTGATGGTTAATTTTGATGTTAAAATGTGAAGAGAAATAATTAGGTTGAGTTTTAAAGATTGCTATGAGAAAAATTATATATGAGAAAAATTATATACTCATTTTTCAAGAAAAAAAGGGAGGATACATGATAAAATAAACTTATTAAGTTTAAATTCAACGAGTAATATTAAAAATATTGTTGAGCAAATTACAATATAAACTATGTAATAATTAATGATTTATAATCTCATATTTATTTTATGTTGATGTTAAATATACGGGATGATTTATAATTTTTATTAATTTTATATAATATATGTATTTTGATACCATAATTAATTTTAATGTATATATACTATCCAATTTGGCCTCCCTTATAAAAAATTTATGGCTCTGCCCTGGTATTATTTGTAGGTCAAGTGAGTCATGGAGGTGTTGAAAGTTGAAAACTGGAAGAGAATAATATGAAATTTGTTCCTCTTTTTCCAACTATAGAAATTTACAACTTATGAATACAAATAAGATTCATGGTAATGTAGTCAAAATTGCGCCCAAGATCGTGGAATCGCATGATTCCATGATTTTGCACAACATGCTAGATTTAATTGCAGAATTGGTGGATTGATGAAGAAGATCGTGGAATCGTTGAATTCATGTGTGCAACAGGTGCTCAAAACCTCGTTGGCTTGGATGACGGTCATAGAGAAATTGTCAGGGAGGGTGCGCAAGGTAGGCAGGGGCCACAACTTAAAAAAAGGAAAAGAGGCGCAAAATTGGGTTGGTTCATTCTTCTTGGGCGAGGATGGTGTGGGAGACGACAAAACCGGCTAGATTCGAGTTGATAGTTTTAGTTTATTAATCTGTTTTGACCGGTCCGTCTTATCTCATCTAGTCTGCTAACCTGGCAAACCAAGGACGGGTGTTGCCCGCATAAAAAATATTTATGTATTAAAAAAAAAGATTATAATTAAAAATATTATATTTTTTTATCATGTTAAAATATATAAATATATTATAATATTATAATTTAAATTATAAATATTAATAAATTCAATTTAAATTATTCATTATAATTAAATATTTTAATATATAAATATAGTGATTTTTTGAAGTTATTTAATAAAAATATTAATTAATAAATAAAAATTTAAAAATTATTTATATAATTAAAAGTATGTTAAAAAAAAATATATATATATATATATTAAAAAAACTACTGACCTGCTAGCTTGTCAGCATATCCTTTGAAAGGATAAATTAAGGTTTGTAGCTTGTCCTAATTATGATTTACAGACTAAAATGGGACGGACGGACTGATATGTTTTATTTATCTTTTTGTTGTGCTTTTCTTTGGGAGTGTGCCTAATAGTGTGAGATTTGATTAAGAGAAATTGAATCAATTGTATAAATAATATATTTAAAAAAAATTACTCAAATAAGATTATTGTCAATTTATTTATTATTGTTCATAAGTCAGAAGTTCTATGACATTTGAAAGAAAATTTGTTATTCTCTCTTCTGACTCACTCTCTCCTCATTCATTCCTTATTTTTTCTTGTTTCTCTCCCTGTCCCCTTTATTATTCTCTCCCCGTCCCCCTTATTATTCTCTCCTCTCCCCGTCCCCCTTATTTTCTCTCCTCTTTCGCCCCCTCTTACCTTCTCTCTTGGTTCATTCTTTGTTCTTTCTTGTTTCTTTATTCTCCTCTGTTCTCTTCTACTCCCTTTTATCCTTCTCTCTCCTCTCTCACGCTCCCTCTTATTATTTTCTCTTTCTCTTATAACATAAGGTCACGTAAAAATGATTTTAGGTTGAACTTTAGTAAAGACTATTAAGATGTTAAAGTATTTTTTTGAAAAAAATAAACCATGAAACTATAATTTTTTTTTAATTTAAAAAAGAAAATTTCTTTTATTTAGTGCATGAAACAAGTTTTTTATTTATTTATGAAAACAGTAAATAACTAAAATTATTTTATCATAATAAATCAATTACTTATCTAATTAAAAAATATCAAATATTTTATGTGAAGATGATTTACTTATTATAACTAAAGTCTATTGTTTATTAGTATTTTTTATATTCTGACATGAAAAGTAAATTACACGCATAATTGAATAATATCTTTCCCATAATCGAATTCTCTACTCAAAAAGTAAATAAGTCTAGATGTGTAAATAAATTGACAATTATTCTATCTAAGTAATCTTTCTTTTAAAATCTATTATTTATTTATAAAGTTCTTATTTTATTATGTTATGAGCTTAGTGGTGATGTTGTATAAAGTTTGATATTATTATTAATTAAAATATGATTTGTTATATTGTTTGTATTATTATGAGTATAGATTTTATATTTATGCAAAGCAAGCTCTTCGATGTTTATTAAGATTTTGCGAGTTATGATCTGGTGAGCCTTTCTATCCATAATCTCGATTTTAACTATGCTTTATGGAGTTTGGAAGAGATAAGGAAACACATAATAAAGCACATTCTAATACATGTTATGAAATAGAACCAATGTGTGTGAGGAGAAAGATTGACATGCTTGACAATGTGGGCAGACATCTTATTGTATCTTGGAGAAAGATTATTATGAATAAAACAGTTGCAACAACACGTGTTGTTATCATATTTATACTAAAATGTTACTACAATTATATAGGAAAATGAATGATATATGAATCAAGAAAATAGAAATGAATCCTAGAACTATACAACTACTAAAAAATCTAGAATTCTAAAACTATAATTTGAACTAATCTTCAGCTTCTGAGTGTTTCTTTCTGACACAGGATTGATACTATCGACAGATGTTTCAGTCACGAAACTGTTGAGGAAATTATTGAAGCTTTGGTAAGATTGCATTAAATCTTTACATTATCTTTGGTGTGTCAGAGAGCTGAATTTAAAATAAATTTAAGATCTTTTGATCCATAATGAACTATCATTGCAGGATTTTGCGAAATTCATTTTATAGCTACCGCCTACCTGTTCTACTTTTTGTGTCTGTTTATTGTTTTTTCGTTTCCTGGCAAAATTTCCTGAAAGTTAGCATTTTGTATTGGCAAACTTGTATTTTAGCCTGTAAAGTTTATATTATGATTAATTACCACAATAAAGGTGACCAATTATGCATATAATTATTTCTATCATAGCTGAGCATATTAATGAGACAATAAAGTATTAAAAGTGGACATATGAAATGAGACTGAAAAACCGAATCACTTGGGGAACCCAACTCATTGAAAGCTAGCTGTTAAGGTAAGAGAAGCAAACACTTAACTATTTTACTCAGTATCTCATATTACTCAATGTTGGACATCCCATAAAACCCAAACCCTTGTCATAGCATTGCCCGAGAAAGAACATCTCAGTGACTCACTCTGACACACCGTTCAACTTTTTCGTTGGTTAAAATCCTTTCCGTGACAGCAACCACTAGCTCCAATACCAATTGATAAGCATCCAAACACGGAACCCACCCCTAAAAGCTAGCTCTAAGGGGGAGAACCCAATTGATGAAGAATATTCAAATTGGCAGTGTATCACAAACACTAAGCATCCGTGTTACTCACTGCAGGACTCAGGTGTTGGAAAAGCTAACAAGGCCAGAAAATAGTTCATTATCCCTAGGCATAACTTTTCTGACACTTTATGTAATCACAATGAGATAATATAAATATCTTCCACTAAAAATAGCGGGAATACAATATACTAAACTCACCAATATGGTGGGTAAACACTCTTTTGTTTCCTCACTCAAAAGAATTCTCTCTTATGAATAAGTGAGGTTCACTTTCTATCAAACTCTACTGTTTTGAATTTTATAAAGATATATCAAAACGAATAAAACATACCTTTTATAGCCGACCTTCATTCCTAGTTGGTAGTTATATAGTTTTTATTCCCCTTGTTTTTTAAAACGAATATTTAGCTTATTTAAATAGACTAGTTTTTCTTTTTTTGCCTCTTTGTTGTTTTCTTATAAAATCTCTTGTACCTTATTTCTTTTTCACGTGTTATTTTATTTCCTTATGTTTCTCTTCACTAAGAAAAGGAAACCCATCCATCTCCCCCTCTCCCTCCTAATTTAGGTGGAGGGCTCTAGTAGCTCTGCTATTATTATGCAAAATTCGTACTTTTCCTTAGTAAGGACTTGGTCATCATATCTAAATTATTATCATTAATATGAATTTTCTCATGTTGCAGTTGCTTAGATTCCAAACTGTCATAATTCTAGTGATATCTGACATCAATATGTTTTAATCTTAGAAAACTTGAATTCTTGCTCAAATAATTGCGCTTTGACTGTTGCAATTGGACAATCTACTGTTGTTGTTCTGCTCTAACTCATGCAGGTATCACTTCATCAATAACTGTTAAGGTTCCAACATAAAACCAATTGACAATATGTGGAGTAGCCTAATATGTATTTAAATCATACCAAATGACATGAGGCAGGCGATGTGGGATTTTCAATACCTCCAACGAAGCCTGTCAGATTAGGCAAATGGTACTTTTGACCCACAATGAAAGGGCAACTCTTGGCCCAAAACAATAATCGTAAAGATGTGGCTTTGACTCTGATACCATGTTAAGGTTCTAATATTAAACCAATTGGCAATATGTGAAGTAGCCTAACATGTATTTAAATCATACCAAATGACATGAGGCAGACGATGTGGGACTTTCAACAATAACATTTTGCTACAGTCCTCAATGTAAATTAGGAGGGGGAGGTTGATGGGTTTCCTTCTTAAGTTATACGAGAAAGATAAGGAAATAAATTATAAGTAAATATAGATAAAGAACAACATATTTTATTGGAAAACGATTGAGAGGAAAAAGAACAAAGAAAAACTAGCCTATTTCATAGTAGGAAGGAAAGTAGGGTAAAAGCTAATGTTTTTGTTCATTTTGATACACCTTTGTAGAAACCAAAACAGGAGAGTTTTGAGAGAAAGAAAGCCTCACTTCCTCTATGAGAGAGGATCCTTTTGAGCAAAAAATAAAAAGGTTTTTGGCGCCCATATTGGTGATATTTGTTATTGTGTTCCTATTATATTTTAAGTGGAAGATATTTTTTAATCTCTCATTACGATTACATAAAAGTGTGGGAAAAGTTAGATCTTGGGATCATAAATCATTTTTAGCCTTGCATTAAGAAGTTTCAGTTGTTCTGTTTCCCAACATTAGGCACCCCATAATACGCAAATCCCTATGCGAGACAAATGGTATGAGTATTTCAAAATGAACATTTCTTCGCCAAAAGGTTTTAAAAACAGTACAAATTGACCAACCTTGACCTACAATGACAGGGTGTACAAACCTTATATGTAGCATGTAGAATAACATAAAATTGAATTTATTAACTAGCCTTCATAGTTGTTGACTTCACCGACTTAATTTATTAACTAGACTTCGTAGTTGTCAACTTTTCCTGAGAAATGTTGAAATATTGATGAATGTACAAAATGACAATCTTTAATCATGCTCACCCTTTAACAATTGTCCAATTTCACAGAATAAACATCGCAAATCACCCTTTAACAGTTGTCCAATTTCACAGAATAAGCATCGCAAATCAAAGCCCTTCGAGATCTTCAACCCTTCTTTGAGTAGTCTATGTGAGTCTCATAACTTGTCGATTGCCAAGTCATTGGTCTCCTGAAATCAATGTCATCCAAAATAACAAGAATTTGGTTTTCTATGTTCCAGTCTCCAGTTGAATGGTGTACTTGGAACACCAAGCTCACAAAAAATACAGGCAAAACATAGGCATTCTGGATTTTGTTAGATAACGACCTTTCAATATTGGTGATATCTTGATCCACAGTCCATGCGATGGAAACAGAGAAACTCCATGGTATCTGTTTTCATGTTGTCCTACTTCCTGTCATCAAAATACTGAAAATAGTCATTTTGGAACAAAAAAACTTGTTCTAACTTGTTGAATATAGAGAAAATAGGGTTTGAAATTAATTTCCCTTGTGTATAAATCACACATAGGGTGGTCTATTTATAGTAGAGAGATACAACTAAAAGAGTAACTGAAAGTAACAGAATAAACAGAATATATTGTTTGATATTGTGGTTACCAATATCTAACAATATCTAACACTCCCCCTCAAGCTGGAGTATACAAATCGTATGTGTCAAGCTTGTTACAAATATAATCAATTCTATGACCCCGTAAAGATTTAGTAAAAATATCTGCTAACTGATCACTTGAGTTAACAAACTCAGTCTTGATATCTCCAGACATAATCTTTTCTCGAATAAAATGACAGTCAATCTCAATGTGTTTGGTCCTCTCATGAAAGACAGGATTATAATTAATATGAAGAGTAGCCTGATTGTCACACACAAGTGTCATTTGAGTGACATCTCCAAATTGTAACTCTCTAAGCAGTTGCTTGAGCCAAACAAGTTCACAGGAAGCTGAGGCCATAGTTCTATATTCTGCTTCTGCACTGGATCTTGCCACAACACTTTGTTTCTTACTTTTCCATGAGATCAAGTTACCATCAATGGAGACACAATATCCAAATGTAGCTCTTCTATCCGAAGGAGATCCCGCCTAATCAAGCATCTCGAGTAGCAAACAACTCTTGTATGGTTATTAGAACCATATAACAATCCTTTTCCAGGAGATCCTTTAATATACTTCAAGATACGAATGATCGCATTCCAATGATCTTCACATGGTGAATTAAGAAATTGACTTACCACACTGATCGCAAAGGAAATGTCGGGACGAGTAACTCGTAAGATAATTCAATTTTCCAACCAATCTTCTATACTTGCTCAGGATCAGATATAGGTTCCCCCGATTTGGTAGAAGTTTAGTATTGGGATCCATGGGTGTATCAACAGACTTTGAACTCATCAACCCAGTTTCCTCCAAAATATTTATGGCATACTTCCTCTGAGATATAACAATACCATCATTGGACTGTGCCACCTCAATACCCAAGAAATATCTAAGTTTGCCAAGATCTTTGGTCTGAAAATGGTGACAGAGATGTTGTTTCAACTGAGAGATGTCATGGTTGTTACTACCTGTAAGAACGATGTCATCAACATATACTATCAAGTAAACACATCTAGCACTCGAGTGTCGATAAAAGACAGAATGATCTGATTCACACCGAGTCATACCAAATTGTTGAACAACCTTGCTAAACTTTCCAAACCAAGCCTTAGGAGACTGTTTTAGGCAATATAGGGATTTGCGAAGACGACATACCATCCCAGAAGACTCCCCCTGAGCAACAAACCCAAAAGATTGCTCCATATATATTTCTTCTTGCAAATCACCATTGAGGAAAGCATTTTTAACATCCAGATGATAAAGAGGCCATTGTTGAAGAGCAGTCATGGCGATAAATAAACGAACAGAAGTCATCTTTGCCACAGGGGAAAAGGTATCTCCATAATCCAACTCAAAAATTTGAGTATAACCTTTGGCCACAAGACGAGCTTTGAGGCGATCAATAGTACCATCAAGTCCAACTTTGATAGCAAATACCCACCTGCAACCAACAACAGATTTCCCAAACGGTAACGGGACCAATTTCCAAGTTCCACTATTATGAAGAGTACTTAGTTCATCTAACATGGCCTGATGCCAACCAGGATGGGCTAAAGCTACACGGACAGTTTTTGGAATGGTCACAGAAGAAATAGAGGAAAGACATGTATAAAAAGGTAATGACAGTCGATGATAACTCAAAGCAATATAATGGGGAGAGGGATTACGTGTAGAACGAATACCTTTTCGAAGGGCAATGGGAAGGTCAGACTCATGTGTCAGATCTGGAGGAGACAGAGTAGTTGGCACTTGAGTAGAGTCACATGGTGGTGGTTGTGATTGGTTTCGAGAACTATAAATCTGAAGAGACAGTGGAGAAGAAGCTGACTGCGGAGCAGAAACTAATGGTGAAGAAGACACAGTTAGAGGGTCACAAACAACAGGAACATTAAATGTATTAGGAGTGTTGACAAGATTGGATGGAGACAGAGGTGAAGATTAACTTTTAAAATAAAGAGACAACTCATCAAAGGTGACATCTTTTGACACAAAATAACGGTTAAGAGAAGGAGAAAAACATTTATATCCTTTTTGTGATCTTGTAAACCCTAAGAAAACACATTTATGTGATCTAGGAGAAAGCTTGTCAAGACCAGAACTGAAATTATGAACAAAACATGTAGACCCGAAAACTTTCAGAGGTAAATGATGAAGTGGTTCATGAGGGAATAAAATGGAATGAGGTATTTTATTATCTAAAACCGAAGAAGGCATGCGATTAATGAGATAACATGCAGTAAGAAGAGCATCACCCCAAAAATGTTAAGGAACATCTCCATGAATTAAAAGTGTGCGAGTTGTTTCAATAAGATGTCTATTTTTATGTTCAGCTACACCATTTTGTTGAGGTGTATAAGCACAAGAAGTTTGATGCAAAATACCGTGAGAAGCCATGAATTGTTTAAAAGAATGAGAAAGACATTCACGGTCATTATCACTACGCAAAACTCTAATAGAAACACCGAATTGAGTTTGAAATAATTCAGAACGATTTTTCATTAAAAATAACCAAGTGCATCTGGAATAATCATCAATGAAAGTAACAAAGTATTGAAAACCTAAAGTAGACTTAACGCGGCTAGGTCCCCAAATGTCAGAGTGAATCACGGCAAAAGGGGACGAAACACCACGTGTGAAACTACGAGGAAAGGAAGTACGACTATGCTTGCCTAATTGACATGACTTACACGCCAAACTAGATAAGTTGAACAAGGCAGGGACAAGTTTCTGTAATTTGGCAAGACTTGGATGACCTAATTGAGAATGAAGAAGAGAGGGAGACTCCATAACTGTATTAACATGTGTAGAGGGACGGAGATAATAAAGACCATGAGACTCACATCCTGTGCCAATCACCTATTTCGAACTCCGGTCCTGTAAACACACAGAATTGTTGGTAAAAGTAACAACACAATCAAGAGAACGAGTTAGGCGACTGATGGACAACAGGTTAAAAGGAGACTCAGGGACATAAAGAACATTATCAATGGTTAAAGAAGGAAAAAATTTAACCGTTCCAACACCATGAGATGATACTCTAGAGCCATCAACCAGTGTAATAGAAGGTAAATGATTAGGAGAGGATAAAGAGGAGAACAAAGATTTGTTACCAGTAATATGATCAGTGGCTCCCGAATAAAAAACCCAAGGACCAGGAGAAAATGATTGGGTCAGACCAGCAAAATATGTATTTGTATGTGTGACAGATATAGTGGAACTAGAAGACTGTTGATCCTTATACCATTCGAGAAATTTGTTGAACATAGCAGGCATGTCGGATGCAACAAAAGAAGGAAGGTCCCCTACAGATAAAGGTGGGGAAAGATTGGTCTGAACAACTACAGCAGATTGAGGAGGACGACCATGTAATGTATAACACTTGTTAATCTTGTGACCTAGCTTGCCACAATGTTCACACTTAGGATGCCCTTTTTCCTGTTTGCAAGGGCGAGCCCCGTCATCACGATAGGATGTCAACACAAAAGAATTGTTAACAAAATTGGAAATAGTGGAAGAAGTCATGAAGAGTGGGAGAACAAACCCTAAAACAATCCAAAGTAATCCAATTAACCCACGAAGCACAAATCTAAAATGAGAATACTAAAAATAAGTTCGCCAAGACTAAACGGCGCAGGAGACAATGGGACGACCAACTCCGATAGTGGTGATCTCAATGGTACGGTGGTCACCTGACCAAGACAAGCAAAATCATGTCACCGGTCAAAAAAAAAAAAAATGAAACTCTGGCGAATTCTCCGGCAGCGGCGGATCCGGTGACTGCTCCAGTGGCAGCGGTGACAGCAACGTGAACTAGTACACCAGGTAAGTTCCTAGGAAAGAGAGGTAGGTCACTAATAGACACACTTAAATACCATGCCTTTCCTTGCCAGAATTTTCCTAAACATGTACTTTCACACTACCAAATAAAATTCAGTAACAAAGATAATTTTGTTTTGATGTGGAGGATCAGTTTACCAGCAGCGGTGGGGTGGCTCTAGCAGCGGTGGGATGACTCCAACAGTGGACAAAAGGCAGAAAAAAAAAATTCAAGATAACCTTAAGCTCTAGATATCATGTTGAATATAAAGAAAATAGGGTTTGGAATTAATTTCCCTTGTGTATAAATCACACATAGGATGATCTATTTATAGTAGAGAGATACAACTAAAAGAATAACTGAAAGTAACAGAATAAACAGAAGATATTGTTTAATATTGTGGTTTACCAATATCTAACAATATCTTAACAATATCAAATAATATCTAAATAATATCTAACATAACTTTTTGAGAAAGTAATGGGAATATAGGCAGAAACGCAGGCAGTGAATTGTACATTTCAATTTCTCGTTAGAAGAAAGAGGTGATGAATTTGTTGATGTTTTCCTTCATCTGTTGATTAATTGCACTGCTTTTGATAGTTTGCCATTAACTTTTCAAAATGAAATGTTATTCTGTCAGGAGAAAGAGGCTGCCGAGTCGTATGACGAATGGAGCTCGACTACTCTAAGGAGAATAAGAGAAGCCTCCCCATTGAGTTTAAAAGTTATCTTACGATCTGTGAGTTTACATTCCCCTTGCATTATTTTCCCTCTCAGGGTTCTTTGTCTTCTGCATTTACTTCCTTTTCTGCTTAATCTAGATACGTGAAGGTAGATTTGAAACTCTCGATAAATGTCTTGTACGTGAGTACCGTGTGTCCCTACGTGGAATTTCAAAGCATGTCTCCTCCGATTTCTTTGAGGTAATAATTTCTCTGTCCCTTTTCAGTAAACAATATTTTTTGTTATTTTGCTTTACTCATTCTTTATGCAGGGTGTTCGAGCAAGAATGGTTGATAAAGATTTTGCACCAAAGGTAAATCTAATTTGTCCAAGAGTCTGTTAAATACATATTGTCGGAAGTTATCTGAAGCATTTCATTCCCAAAATTGCAGTGGGATCCTCCTAATTTAAAAGAAATATCAGAGGACATGGTTGACTACTATTTCTCTCCGTTAGAGTCTGAACTAGTGCTACCAACAGCTTTGCGAGAACCTTACATGTGAAACTAGCATACCTCTAATAAGCAGTCCTCATCACTGGCAAGGGTAAGGCAAATAAGTTCTAATTTTGCTATTAAACTTCTTCAGAAAATATTTAACATATGTTTGTTGTATTGGCATAAAAATGCGGAAGCCGCACTTTTGGTGGGGAGGGGTGGTAGAATTACTACCACACTGGCTCATGAAAATGTAGATCATCTAATTTTCAGTTAGGACTTGAGCATTAGAGTAGACTATTCAAAACATTAGTCCATTGGATAAGAGAGCCTCAAAACTTTAAAGTACAAGTGGTTACGAGGAGGTTGAAAATTTTATATATGCACATTTATGTTAATCGTTAGTGGTGTGTAACCATGTCTATAAAGTTATATGCAGTTTAAATTGATTTTTACATCTTTTGGCAAGTCAGAAAGTGATTTATCTGTGTACTGTAGTTTTTTTTAAAAAACAATTGCGGATAAAGAGGCGTTGATGCATTTGGCAGATGCCCCATGAACCTATCGCATTCACCTGCTTCGACCAAACTTTCACCATCAACGGTTCCTGTCTGACTATCTGTTGGGTTATCGGATGAACTATCCAATGTTAGAAATTATTGCCCTTGGATGTGTAGTGTAGTCTAACGTTGGCCCTATAATACAAGTGAATGGATCATATATGCTTCTTTCGTTGTTTATTCATTTTCAGTTATATTGAAATCCCAGCGCTGTCATATACTGAAAACCTTAATCAGGGGCTCCGTCATATGATGAAACTAAAATTTATTTCCTTGTAAATTTGAAGCAGGGATGACAACTTCTACTGTCTGGAAGGCCTTTGAGTACTTCTTTAGTTAGAGTTTAGATTGGAATATTTTTAATGAACTTTATGTAGTTTATAAAATTTATTTATTATGAGCTCTTTTTAATTATTTTATTCTACACTTTTCATTTATTCTAGAAGTTTACATTCAAATTTTGATTTAGTTTTGTGCACTGGAAGTTGAATAATTTTTAATTTTAACTGATTACTCACTTTCGAATCAAATCTTTTTCCAAAAGATGTGTTGCAGTTTTATCTACAACTTTATTTTGTTGGATTAATCTAGCTGTGTTCTGCAACACATGCTGAACTTAAATATCTATTTGTAGAAAACTACGCACACTAAGATCTTTGGTCCTTGATAGAATGCCCCGGGGAAAAAGAAATAAAGGCATTATAATGGTCGCAATCAATTTTATCTCTCAACAAACTTGTTTTTGATACACTGTCCCAACTCTCAATCAGATCTCCATTACATTAAATCTTTTTGAAAAGGCGTTGAAGCGAGGCACAACAAATGTTTAGTGCCTCTTAGATAGCTACAAAAGAAATCTACAAAACTATAAATCGAACTTGTTTGTTATGTAATAGTGTGAATATTTTTAAGAATTGGTTGTTGGACTGCTGCAGTAGTTAATCTACGTGTTTGATGGCTGAGAAAGTCATTCTCATATCAATGTCATATTTTTTAAAAGCTTGGCATTCCTATTTATATATTACAGATGCTTTAGTAATCTAATATCACCTAGTTTAACCTAAAAATTTACATTATTATAAGGCTTAAAAAAATGATTAAACTTAAAAGACTTAGCGTAAGTACAAATTTAACATATCCGTTTGGTATAAGTATATTCAATATAACATAATAAACTATTTATTCAAAAACTTATTTTGTTTTCAATTTCTTAAAATATAAATTTATTCTTCATTAATTTTATAAGTTTAATTTTTTTTTATGTAAGTCAGCAAACATAATAATTAAGAAATATTAAACAATTTGAATACGTTATAACAAATTTAATATAATAAAACAAACAAAATATTATTAATTATGTCCTTAGATAGGTTAATCGGTTATCTTAGGAGCTGACCTTTTTAACTGAATCGATTTTCATGAAAGACTAAATATATTTCTTCAAAAAGTTTGATCTTGTATATGAGTAATGAGCCATATGTTTCCTTGTCTAACCAAACTTATTTTAATCATGAATTCTAAGCCTCAAACATGAACAAAATTCATCAAAATTGATGATTTCTAATAACTGCTTGTCAGTCAGTCATATGGGAAATGTTAAAACTGATGAGAATAAGGTGAGTTTAGAGCTAAAAGACACATGAAATTGAGCTTAATCGATTGAACAACATCATATTAATCTTTCAGTCTTCTAAATTCTAACTACATTCAAATGTCTTCAACCTAGACGGCGCAAGAGGTACTCAACCTGAAGCTCTTTGGTAAGAGGTATCACCGAATTTTTGTACAAGCGAGAAGCCACTGATGGATCAGACTTACGTTCTTCATTGTCTTCAGTATCAAGACATACTTCCTGACCTAACACTGTGGCCTTCTTCTCAACCCTCTTCCTCACCGCCTCTTCAATGCTGGTAAATGTCGACAATTTCATCAAACCTTCTCTATCCTGCAAAAATATGGTGTACATTTTGAATATAAACCAACGTAGCATAACAAACAAAGTTATATGTAATTGAACATTAGAGCATATTCTAACTACTGTTGATAGACTATTCAGGTCACTTGTTCTCAAGTCATTTTCCACTCATTCCTATATGATCAATCTTACAAACTTTGTCTTTGAGACATTACAGTGTATTAAAGATCTTATGTTAACTATTGATATAACCAAGTTAAAGTGTATAAGTAACAAATAATCTTCATTTTATAAATCAGTTTTGTGGAGACGAAACTCAATTTATAATGTGAACATACAATGCATACATGAATGACTGAAATCATGCAACAAAATAAGACAAGCCAACACAAAACAATCCGGTCATATATATATATATATATATATATATTGAGGAGCATCCCTGAATTTCACCTCAGCTACAAACTTTCCATAATGAATCCTTCTTGATATAGCCTGCAAATATTTTATAGAATGAACTCTTAGACAAGAAACAATACGGACAAAGGACACTAGCAAATTCTCAAGTCAGACTAAGGCTCAGTTATGGTAAAATTGTTGATACCTTCTAAGATAAAATCAACTTGCGTAAAAATAACTTTTACAGAAACACTTTCATGTAACTTTTCTAAAAACTGCTTGGTGTATAATTGTGTGATTGCATCAGTGTTTCTAATGCATGTATCTTCCTGTTTTCACGTCCAAAGCAGGAAAACACATAGAAGCTACTCTTTGTAGTTTATGTCACTGATAACAAACTTCTTATCAAACACAGTAAGGTGATTTTAATTTATGGAAGAAGTTTGATTCATTTTATTATCCTATTACTATTTAGTAAAAAAGTTTATCTAAACATGGTCTACAGTACATGCATGAAACTATAGTTGAGTTGAGATTTCCTTTGTCAAAAGTTAAGCTGTAAAGATTGCTCTACATAAACTCATTAAAGAACATCTATTACCTGCAATAATGAAAGATCACTAGTTTCAGTTTGCGCATAGTTGCCATCATCACCCGAAGTAGCAAGCAAAGGAAGTAATTCGTGCAAATACATCTTCCGGATGGACTTGTTTATGTTAATTGAAGCAGCTCCAGGATGCAAAAAGTAAAGACGGATTAAGTTGATAGAGAAATCCTTTATCTTCTAAATTTCATGAAGTATGGCAATTGGAAAATGGTACCACAGTACCGAATTAGCTGTGAGAAGGGGTAATATGGCACACTTGATGGTGGTAAATTTACAGGGAAGAAGAGGTTTTCTTTAGGGTTTTTGTATCTTGCAGCCTGTAATTCACCATATTATTTTAGGCCTAACATTCATTATAATACTTTCAAAGCTAATTGATAATAGTTTCAAAGGTAATATTGGCCCTTGTTAACTTGGCTAGAAAGATAATACTTTCAAAGTTTTCAAGTAATCGTCAAAACTTACTATCTTATCAATCAAGTTTTTGCAAAAATAAGCTCGCTAGAAGAATGATAGTTTTGTAAATAGATTTTTCAAAGTTTGGGATAACTTATGAGAGTCTAGGACTAATGAAAGCTCGATTCTTATTGATTTCTTGGTTGAACTCACCCCTCATGGAGAGAGACAAGAATGCTAGACTTTGAGTGTGAATGGATCATCAACCAAGAAAGAAAGCACATCAGGTACTATCCTTGAGGGGCCTAACAATAAAGTAACTAAAACAAGCTTTAAGATTCAATTTTAAGGCATCAAACAAACAAGCCAAGTACAATGTTTTAGTCAAACTAAAGTTGGCTAAAAAAATAGGATTGAAACAACTATGTTTTTTAAAGTGATTCCAAGCTTCTCACTAGACAATTTATAAATGACTTTTAGGTAAAAGAGCCTCTCATATAGAGATATTATCATATTATTAAGAATTTAATAAATGATTTAGAGAAGTTTACAATATAGAACAAAGAAATTTGAAAAATATCGAACACTTATACAAGAAACTTTAACTTCTCCTAGTTGGGATCACAAGGATGTTTTTCACATTTTTGCATCATAGACCTGAATTACCTTAATTTTTTATTATTTACGGAATGAAAGTCCTCCAAGCAACCTAGATAAGGACAAGGGAATGAGGAGAATCTCGTCTTTTTTTGAAAAGTGATACCAAAGAGTTCTTAAAGAAATTAATATCAAAATTTTAGGCCAATACATAAGTCTCCACCCGAATATATGCATAACATGAACTCAACATGGTTATTTACTAAGTGTGGAATGTATTCCCAATTGTGAAATGACAAGTTAAATTCTTTATTATTACGATAGATTATTTCAGAAAGTGGATAGAAGTTGAGCTTCTCGCTATAATCAATACCCAATAATTTAAAGATTTTTTTGGAAAAAAGTGATATGTAGGCATGACTCCCTAAATGGGTACGTAAAGGTTGTTATTAAAGACATACTTAACAATCTCAAGAAAAAGTTAGGACAAGCAAAAGGATTATGGACATAAGAAATCTCAAAAATGTTGTGAAGATACCATTGTGCCCTTCAATCCTCTAAAAATGAAACTCCCCTGAGATTAACTTATGAGAATGATGTAATAATTGATTAATACATTTTATCATTGTTTTTATTATTATATTTTATACATAGTTATATTATTTAATTAATTATTTTTAACATAGTTTTGATAAATAAGAATAAATAATTTTGTTTCTACTTTATTATCTAATTTATACATTTTAACTAATTAATTATATATATTGATGCAAGAATGATAAATTAAGGAATGAAAGAAAATTTGATTATTGAATTTTGTTCAGCTAATTATCTCTAGAAACTTCATTCTTAGCACTATCAGTTAGTTAAATGATAAAATAATTCACTGAGAGCAAAAGTGTCCATGGCTAAGAAACTAACTTCACTAAAATTTTGTTGAGCAAGTGAAGAATTTGATGTTATTAAAGTTATAAATAATGTAATTGATTTATTTTGAGTATTGTATGTGCGTTGTCCGATTCAATTGTGTTTGTTATTGGAAAAACCAAAAGACATATGTTATCTTCAAGTTATCATTCATGTTAGCTTCAAGTAGAGTTAGATTTGAGTTTTCTCTCTACTTTCTACACTTTTGAGTTCTTGTTCTTGGTATAAATTTTTTGTTCCGAATTTATTTAGTCTTTTAGGAATTCTTCGTTCAATACACCAATTGAAGATGTTTTAGATCAAATTTGTTTCATCTTCTCTATCTCTTCCATTTAATTTTTGTATTTTCTTCTTCTTCTTCGTCCACTTTCCTGCAAAATTTTTGGCTTTGTTAATGTTTTTTTTTAATTGTTGTAATGCATTTCTAATTCATTTTGAAGATTCATTCACTGATTAAAACTTATTTTTTGTGACTTCGATTTGATTTTTAATTTTTCTAATCATTCATAATCTATTATAATAAATGTAGTTGGGATGTAGTTGGGATTATCTGATTGAATACCACAATTTGCATCTCAATTCAATTTCTTGGTTTAAGTAATTGTTTGATTTAGGAATTGAGTTATTTCTTTAATTCAATTGGATTGTAAATATATAAAATATTTATGGATTTATCTTGTGATTACAAGTAGGTCTAAAAATCAATGACAATAATATGAGCAAGCTAATGATTGAAAAATCAACCATTGTTTTTAATTTTGGTTTTACTATACTTTATTAAATTCAATTACTATTTTTACATGTTTTCCTTTATTGTTTGTGAGTGATGTTTTCCTATAATTAGATTTAAGTACTTTCTTTACATCTTTATTTTATTCCATTTCAAATTACAACCTTCATTTACTTCCATTACAATTTAATTTAATGCTTTGTTATTAGACTTAATTTATTTTTCTGCGCAATTTTACATACTTTATTAATGTATATTTACTGTATTTGATTTACAATTCATGTCATTTACTTTCATGTACAAGTTTAATTGCTTTCCATAAGTTTAGTTTATTGTTTTTTCTAGATCTTAGGTAAATTGCTTTCAATTTATTGTCTTTTAACAAAAACACATAAAATCCCTTTTTTCCTAACTTTTAACATTTGAAAATCAAAGTTTACAGCATAATTGTCAATTCTTCTTAAGGATATAATCTAGGTTAACCCAATATTGTATTAATTCTTGTTATGAATATTTGATCACATCGTTGATATTATTTGATGTTGTTAATGTAATAACATTTCAATGCATCCTTGGTATTACAATGTCATTAACAAACTAGTGTCTCAATGTTTTGTTAGAAAATTGACATAATAGTTTGTCGTTGATACTATATTGTGTCATTAACCATCGACGTCTCAACATGTCGTCGACAATACTATGTTGTTTGCAAAATTATATGTCTCAATGTATCATTCAAAAGTAAAGAATCAATTTGTTTTTTTTTTTTTTTTAATTTCAAGCAACTAAATCGGCCATAATCTATATTACTAAACTTAGTTTATTTAAATTCTTATTGCTCTCAAACACATAACTCATCCAATGATTTAGTCTCAATAATTAAACATAGGTAATTTAAATAACTATCAATTTTGGGCACACTGTTCAACCAATGATTTAGTCTTATTGATTAAACTTGGCATTTTTTACTTGATTATACATATTCAAATATGTATCTTAGTAAAGTAAAGATAAACAAGAAAGAGAGAAAGGAAATGAAAATTAATTAGTAGAAAGTTGGAATAACACAAGTGATAAAGCACAAAAAGGAGCTTAACACTCTTTTTCTTAAGTGCTTCTTGGAGACTATCGTGTTATCCTTTACTGTAAATGTTTTTTTTTTTATCATCATCATTACAATGATGTTGAAGCTTAACATTCTTTGAGCTCGCCTGTGTTCGGTCTTTCGAGGGGGGATTTACTGGGGAGAAACAACACTAATGAGACATGAGTCCAACCCATATAAGGATTGATACCACTCTCAACCAAAAACCTTAAGGTATTGGGTTATGAGTCTTTCTTCCTTATATATTATTCAACTTCTTCATTCTTACATAATGTGATACTTAGAATTACACTTGGATTACCCAACAATCTCCTAGTCAAGTGTGAGTTCCTCCACATTGGTACATCCCTTAGAGCACACTAGTAGCCTTTCCATGTACCGTTGTTCATCATAATGGGATATGCTTACCTGACCTATTGTCAGAAATACTTTCGATACAATGATCACACTTGTCGATCAATCTTCGACTTTGATACTACTTGTTGGGTCTTTCGAAGGTAGATTTATTGGGGAGAAATAACATCAATAGGACATGAGCCCAACCCACATAAGGATTAACACTATTCTCAACCAAAAACCTTAAAATATTGGATTATGGGTCTTTCTTCCTTATATATTGTTTAACTTTCTCATTCTTACCCAATATAAGACTTAGAATCACACTTAGATTACCCAACAATTATTGTTGAGAACACAAATAAAATACAAGATGAAAGTAAATAACAAGAACACAAGAAATTTACGTGGTTTAGTCAAAGTGACCTACGTCCACAGTTGCATTAGATGATAGTTCTCAATCACTCAATTAGGTTTACAATTACATGAGTATTTATAATAAAAGAATAAGTAAATGGGTCATGTCCAATAACCCTTCAGACTCCATATGCTTAACAATCTCCCACTTGGAAGTTGATCACATCAAGCACACTCCAAAGTAAATCTAGTAAACTTCAACATTATAATAATGTCAAACTAGTGCAATGTCTTCTCAACAATTAACCATAAAGGTAAGTTGAAGTCAAGCAAAATTTTAACTTCTCAGTATTAACTACCTTGGTCAACATATTTGTCGGATTCTCTGACCCAAGGATCTTCTCCAAAACACAAAGTACCATCACTTATTAGTTCTCTAATGAGGTGATACCTCAACTGGGTGTGCTTTGTTTTTGCATGAAAAATAGGATTCTTTGCAAGATGAATGACACTCTGACTATCATTATAAAGAACATTGTCACATTGCTTCTTGCCTAGCTCCTCAAGAAAATTATTCAACAAATCATTTCCTTACTAGCTTCTGAAATAGTCATGTACTCTACTTCTGTCGTTGAAAGT